TATGAAATGAAAATATGAAATATGCTCTGAACATAAATGTAGAAAAATAGATATTTGATTTAATTGTGCATTGCCTTTTCATTTATTTCCTTTTCCAACTATCAAAAATCTCCCTCCCAACGTGAAATTTGGATCAAACTAATTAACCGCTTAAACACTACTGGGACAAATAATTTTTTCTGCCCAAAGAAAGATGCACGATTTTGTTCTAATCATTTTAAAGACAAAGAGCCTAATATAAAAAAATCTTTATCTCACTGAGAACCTTGGATATGATTCTCGGCATAAAGATGCTCTTTTGTGCCCTAGCTCTCGAACTCTAAATAGAAACAGTATAATAAATACTAACTTCACACAGCCTTTACTTAAAAAAAAAAAATTAAATGTAAAGTCTAATACATGCTTTAATACAATAGTTGATCAAAATCAAGACACGATTTCTGTTAAACAGTTATGTTCTAGTTCCTCGTTAGTGTCAACTTCGCTACAAAAAGCCCTGTTGACTTTCTGATTGAACCAGTACGAGTGGTAGTATTAGATAACGAAGAAAATAACATTAATTCACTTTTTAATGATAATGAGTTCACTTAAGCTCAAAAACAAACTTTTTTTAAAATTGGCTTAAAAAAACTATTGACAAATTACAAAAACTAAATCACTATCTTCTTTTTCAAAACAAAAAATTACAAATTATGATTAAAAACAAAGTCAAAAATAATCTTCATAAAAAAGTCTACAAAAAACTATTAACAAATGACAAGAAGTGTAACTTTTACACAAACATTCCTTCACTGAAAGTTTTTCACATTTTTCACGACCTTATAAAAATTGTACATCGTCGATTTAATTACAAAACTGAAATGAAATGTTCACCTAAAAAAAACCCTGATAAAATGACACTAAAAAAACTAAGAAGATGGAGAAAATTATGTTCACAAAATGAGTTTTTACTTGTTTTTATGAAATTACGTTTTGGACTTTTAGGCAATGACCTAGTTGATAGATTTAGTGTTTCTCTTGGCACTGTTTCAAAAATATTTAAATTGTGGATTAGAGGCATGTCACAGTGTTTAAAACCATTAGTTTACTTTCCAGACTAAGAAAATGTTCGCTTGAATAATCTTGATCGTTTTAAAAATAATCAAAGTCTGTTAAGAATGTTTGATTGCTCTGAAATTTTTATTGAAACACCAAAAGATTTGGAACTGCAATCTGCAATATGGTCTGAGTGCAAGCACCACAATATAATGAAGTTCCTTGTATCAGTTACATCTAGGTCTTTCATAAACTTTGTTTCGGAAGCATATACTGGAAGAATATCAGATAAAGCAATAACATTGGATTGTGACTCTCTTACAAAATTCCCTCCTTATTCTTTAATCATGGTTTATAAAGGTTTAAATATTGCTAGTGAGTGTGCTGTTTATAGGATTACCTTTATTTCCCCTCGTGGAAAACAAGAAACTTCTCAAATGACACCTGAAGAAGTGGTAAATAGGAATAATATTGCTAAACTCAAAATTCTTATTGAACAGATAATTCAGAGAAAGAAAAACTTTTTGAATAATTGGACAAGAATTTCCTATATCACTTCTTGATAATCTTAATGACATTATCGTAATTTGTGCAGCTTTTTCCAATTTTAATCATAAAAAAATACTTTTTCGATGCTCTAAAACACAAATTTTTTAGTCCAAACATAAATATATATATATATATATATATATATATATATATATATATATATATATATATATATATATATATATTTATATATATTTATATATATTTATATATATTTATATATATATATATATATATATATATATATATATATATATATATATATATATATATATATATATATATATATATATATAAACAATCAATAATATATATATATATATATATATATATATATATATATATATATATATATATATATATATATATATATATAATAATAATAATAATAATAATTGAAGCTGTGTTCTTGATAGTTTCAAAAATGAATCTAACAACTGTAGATGTTAGATTTTAACAACTGTTTTTCGCTAAACTTTTTAAGTTTATTTTTAAAATCAATTACTGAATTAGCGTTAACAATTTCACTGTCCAAACGATTCCAATTTTCAACTATACGGTTCGTGAAGAAATGATGACTCGGCAAAAAGTTTTGAACATACTGCCTTCGCAACCTTTGATTGTGTCCTCTAGTTAGCCTACCCAATACTTCTGGTTCACGATGCCAATTGATAGTATCAATTTTGTTCATGAATTTGTACATTTGGATAAGATCACGATTTTCCCTTCTCTTTGATAGATTTTGTATGTCCATTTTCTCTAATCTTTGCTCGTAACTGTCTTTTTTTTTTTTGTAGCCAAATTTTGTAGCTTTTTGCTGAATTTTTTCTATTAAGTTTATATCTTTAATAAAATATGGGTTCCACACTTGAAAAGCATATTCTAAGTGTGGCCGAACGAGTGACATATATAACAATTTTGTTGATGTTTCATCTGGATAGAGGATTGCGTGCTTTAACATACCCAATTTTTGATTTGCCTTACTTACCATTTTTTCAATGTGGTCTTCCCATTTTAAATTGTCTGAAATATAAACACCAAGGTCTCTTTCCAATGACGTTACTATTAGTCCATGTTGAATAATCTCTGTTTCTGTAGCATTATATTTTAAATTATACTTTATTTTCGGATTATCACGACCAAAATGCATGATTTTACATTTATCTTTATTAAAACTGATAAGCCATCTTTTAGTCCAGTTAAATAAGATGTCAAGATCCAACTGTAGAGAGTTATTTATTTTATTTTTTTCTAGAACTGCAATTATTTTTAAATCGTCTGCATATAGTTTTGCTTTATTATTCAACTTTTTTGTTAAATCATTTATATAAATTATAAAAAGTAAGGGTCCTAAGACCGATCCTTGTGGAACCCCACTACGAACTGTTTCCCATTCTGATTCAAACAGTCCCAAAACAACTCTCTGTTTTCGATTTGCTAAAAAAGCTTTACACCATTGCAACAATTTTCCGACAATACCAAATGACTTAAGTTTCAAGAGCAGCCTGGAATGCGGAACTGAATCAAATGCCTTAGAAAAATCTAAAAAGGCAACATCAACACATTTTCCACAATTTATTGATTCTGTTATTATGTCTAATGTCTCGAGAAGGTTTGTTACACAATTTTTTGATTTAATGAATCCGTGTTGTTCTGGTATTAATAACTTATTTTTATTTAAATGGTTCATTATTGTATCCTTAACAATACTTTCCATTACTTTACAAACAACAGAGGTCAATGAAATTGGACGGTAGTTACCTGCATTCAACCTATCCCCATTTTTAAAAATTGGAGTGATATTTGCTTTTAACCAGCTTGTAGGCAATGTTCCAGTTAGAAATGATTGGTTAAATATCATACAGAGTGGTCTAGCTAAACTGTCAGCACACTTACTTAAAAACATTGGATGAATTCTATCGATACCTGGGGACTTGTGCACATTTAGATTCAATAATCGTTTTTTAATATCTTTTTCATTAAACAATGGGGTTGGGCAAATTTTTTCTGTTATATTTTCACATGTAGGCATATTAGTTAGGCTTTCGTTTATGAATACTAAATTGAAAAACCGATTTAACTGATTAGCAATAACTTGACTGTCAGTTGATATTTCATTGTTTTCAATTGAAATTGCTCTTATATAGTCTTTAGCTTTTAGTTTACTGTTAATATAAGCATAAACTTGTTTTGGATTTTTTTTTGATTCTGTTGCAATTTTATTTTCATATTTTTGTATTGTAATCTTTACAAGTTTTTTAACTAACTTATTTTTTAGTTTATATTCTTCCTTAAGATCTAAATTTTTGAAATGAGAGGCTTTGTATCGATACCAAAGGTTACGCTTAAGTCGAATTTCGTGTTTTAATTCTTTATTCATCCATAAGGATCTTTTGCTTTCAGTTGTTTTTTGATTAAATGACGGTATGAAATCTTTACAGTCGTATTCAAGAGTTCTAATAAAACTTTCATAACACTGATCAACATTAAGTCCAGTAAACTCATGACTCCAGTTAAATTTATTTAAACATTTTGAAAATTCATGATAATTTCCTTTCATGTATACTCGCTTTGTAGTAATACTTTCATTTTTGCGATTATGTAATTGATAATTAAAATTAAAATTTAAAACATGATGACCTCTTTTTGTTTTCCCCAAAAGGATCCATATGTACCAAGCTGGATATGCGAAAAGGAGAAGCTGTAAATACTAAATCTAATATATTTGTTAATTTTGTGTCATTTAATTAAAATGTTGGTTTTTTTATATGTTGTGTGAGATAACATTCCTCAATGCATTCTAGAAACTGTCTCTCTTTTTCTCCAATGCAGACACTTTCATAACAAGAATTCCATATACTATTCAAGGATGGAAAATTGAAGTCACCACATATGAAAAACTCAGTATATATTTTAGTTTTTGAGAAGTAATTGTAACTTTCTTTAATAGAATTGATTACATTTTGAAAGTTTACTAAATCATCACTTCCTGGTCTATAAATACAGCCACATAATATGCATTCATTGCTCATTTTAATGGTACACCAAATCTGCTCAATATTTTTATTATTATAGGGTTCATTATTGACTTCAAATGAATCAATTAGGTCATTTACATAAATACAGACTCCACCACCTCTGCTATTCATTCGGTCTCTGCGATAAAGGTTATAACCAGGTATAATTGTTGCTGAGGTATCATTCCACCATGTTTCTGTTATGAAAATTATATCTGGAGAGCTTATTTCAATTTCAGCTATAACTTCATTTAATTTATTTTTTTCAAATGATGTAGCATTGGTATATAAACATTTCAAACTATTTGAGTTGTATCCAGTACTTATAACTGGCTTTTGTGCATTATCATTTATTTTAATTTTAAAATCTTGGATACCGGTTACAGTTCTTTTAAACATTAGAATGTTATTTATTTTGTTTGCCACTTTATACTCAAATTGCTATGTTTTTTTAGTCAGTTTTACTACTTTATTACTTCTTATACCATAATAAAATGAGCTATTGTTCATGTCTGAATTTCCGTTTAAAATTTTCACTTCAGATCTTAATTGCTTCGTTAAAATTCTTTCTGCTTCAGTCATATCAGTATTAAAGTAAATATTTGGTATTTTATCCCTGTTACGAAAAGCTGCTTTTAGCACTTGGTTTCTTGCATGCACGTTATCAAGTTCTAAAATAACTGGGGACTTTTGTGACATATCCCTCGATCGTAATCTTGTAATTCTTTTGATTTGCACACTTTCTAAATTTATATCTTTTATGACTTTTAATACCTCTATTTTATCATCTTCTTTTCGTTCATTTAGATCACTTTTTGCGGAATGATTTAAACCAAAAACAATAACATTGTTTTCTCTTCTAGCTCTCAGCTGTTTCATTTGCTACTGTATTTATAATATCTACTTGTAATGGAGTCTTTACACTATTTTTACTGGCGACGACATTCCACACCTTATCATCTATTATACATGGATTGTTTTTATTACAAGTGTTTTCCTCTTCCAATTTTATTATTCTTTCTTCTAGATTTTTAATTCTTTCTTCTTTAAAGTTTAGCTTTAATTCTAATTGTTTAATTCTCTCTAATAAATTGTCTAGTTTTTTTTCTTCTTCTTTTTTAGGAGGCATTGTGATTGCTGTTTTATTAACTTTTTTTTTACTTTTTTAAAATAATATATTTTGTTTACTTTTTTTAAAATAATACGTCTGCCATCTTTAAAACGGCAAAATATGATATATAAAAATTCATTAACCAAAAGATTCGAAACTTGATTATCATGGTGAAATTTCCAGTTTCTAACTTGTTCATCAAAAGAAGATACTGAGTTTTTTTAAGCCAATTTTAATATATATATATATATATATATATATATATATATATATATATATATATATATATATATATATATATATATATATTTATATATATATTATTGATTGTTTATATATATATATATATATATATATATATATATATATATATATATATATATATATATATATATATATATATATATATATATATATATATATATATATATATATATATATATATATATATATATAAATATATATATATATAAATATATATATATATATATTTATATATATATATATATATATATATATATATATATATATATATATATATATATATATATATATATATATATATATATATATATATATATATATATATATATATATATATATATATTTATGTTTGGACTAACAAATTTGTGTTTTAGAGCATTGATGAAGTATTTTTTTATGATTAAAATTGGAAAGAGATGCACAAATTACGATAATGTCATTAAGATTATCAAGAAGTGATATAGAAAATTCTTGTCTAATTATTCAAAAAGTTTTTCTTTTACCTAATTATCTGTTCAATAAGAATTTTGAGTTTAGCAATATTATTCCTATTTACCACTTCTTCAGGTGTCATTTGAGAAGTTTCTTGTTTTCCACGAGGGGAAATAAAGGTAATCCTATAAACAGCACACTCACTAGCAATATTTAAACCTTTATAAACCATGATTAAAGAATAAGGAGGGAATTTTGTAAGAGAGTCACAATCCAATGTTATTGCTTTATCTGATATTCTTCCAGTATATGCTTCCGAAACAAAGTTTATGAAAGACCTAGATGTAACTGATACAAGGAACTTCATTATATTGTGGTGCTTGCACTCAGACCATATTGCAGATTGCAGTTCCAAATCTTTTGGTGTTTCAATAAAAATTTCAGAGCAATCAAACATTCTTAACAGACTTTGATTATTTTTAAAACGATCAAGATTATTCAAGCGAACATTTTCTTAGTCTGGAAAGTAAACTAATGGTTTTAAACACTGTGACATGCCTCTAATCCACAATTTAAATATTTTTGAAACAGTGCCAAGAGAAACACTAAATCTATCAACTAGGTCATTGCCTAAAAGTCCAAAACGTAATTTCATAAAAACAAGTAAAAACTCATTTTGTGAACATAATTTTCTCCATCTTCTTAGTTTTTTTAGTGTCATTTTATCAGGGTTTTTTTTAGGTGAACATTTCATTTCAGTTTTGTAATTAAATCGACGATGTACAATTTTTATAAGGTCGTGAAAAATGTGAAAAACTTTCAGTGAAGGAATGTTTGTGTAAAAGTTACACTTCTTGTCATTTGTTAATAGTTTTTTGTAGACTTTTTTATGAAGATTATTTTTGACTTTGTTTTTAATCATAATTTGTAATTTTTTGTTTTGAAAAAGAAGATAGTGATTTAGTTTTTGTAATTTGTCAATAGTTTTTTTAAGCCAATTTTAAAAAAAGTTTGTTTTTGAGCTTAAGTGAACTCATTATCATTAAAAAGTGAATTAATGTTATTTTCTTCGTTATCTAATACTACCACTCGTACTGGTTCAATCAGAAAGTCAACAGGGCTTTTTGTAGCGAAGTTGACACTAACGAGGAACTAGAACATAACTGTTTAACAGAAATCGTGTCTTGATTTTGATCAACTATTGTATTAAAGCATGTATTAGACTTTACATTTAATTTTTTTTTTTTAAGTAAAGGCTGTGTGAAGTTAGTATTTATTATACTGTTTCTATTTAGAGTTCGAGAGCTAGGGCACAAAAGAGCATCTTTATGCCGAGAATCATATCCAAGGTTCTCAGTGAGATAAAGATTTTTTTATATTAGGCTCTTTGTCTTTAAAATGATTAGAACAAAATCGTGCATCTTTCTTTGGGCAGAAAAAATTATTTGTCCCAGTAGTGTTTAAGCGGTTAATTAGTTTGATCCAAATTTCACGTTGGGAGGGAGATTTTTGATAGTTTGAAAAGGAAATAAATGAAAAGGCAATGCACAATTAAATCAAATATCTATTTTTCTACATTTATGTTCAGAGCATATTTCATATTTTCATTTCATAAGTCTATAGCGTCCATTTGAACAATTTTTCACAACGCAATGATAAGCCATTTTACCAATAACTACTTATTAAAACCATAGTTATAAGAAAGAATAGTTTGGAAGCAAACAATAGCGTATTGTTTTAACTCTTTCATACTGTTTTTTCTCGTTTCCGGACTTCCGAACCTGCACAAAAAGATTGTTGTTGTTAGCGTTTGCTTGTTATTTTATAAGGTTGTATTTGTGTTTTGATTAAAATTAGTTTTCTTTATATGCCTGGTGAAAATTGTGCAATATTTGGTTGTTCAACTTCAAGAAGACACAAAGGTATCAGCATTTTCAAAGTTCCTACTCTAACTAATGATGCAAATAAGAAATGGAGCAATGACCTTATTAACGTAGTTACTAAGGTCATTGTAATCCTAAGGTCAACGTAGTTACTAAGGTCAAGGTAATACTAAGGTCATTGTAAACAAGTAATCCATCGCAGCGAAGTTCGCTATCTATTACAAAACGTGAGGAGTTTTTAGAAACTCAAGAGTTGATTTCTTAAACTACACCATTATGTTACAAATCTTTTAATGATTTTACCAAACGTATTTTAAAATTCTCTTTAAGTGAAAGATGGAAAATATCTTTCGATGAGAGATTTGCAATTATTACTTGTAGTTCTCCAGAACATATTTTACCTAAGTTCGAAATTTATGTCGACGAGTTGCTAGACTATTGTATAGGAATTTTTGGTTGGATGTTACCAATAGATCATCTTTTGTACCTTCAATATAAAGGATCTTTTTTTAATGTTTCTTTATCCATATTTATAAGTCATATTGAAACTCTTATTCTTTGCCCAGGTGTTGAAGTAAAAAATTTAGACTTAATTAACCAAAACTTTAAATTTGAAAAACATGTTATAGTCAAAAAATTTAATTACTTGCTTTTTAAGCTGCTTCCTAATAAACCTAGATTAAATCAAGATAAGTTTTATCGTTCACCGTGTTGTAATGTTTTAATAAAAACCCAAAGTTGTTGTTCTTCATGCCATTCTTTGCAACTTAAATCTATTTATGAAGTAAATAATAAATATAAAACTTTAAAACAACCTGCAAAACTGAACGCTCCTCTTAAGTTTACCTCCACAGAAAGAATTAAATTAAGTTTGCAACAACAGCGTTTAAAATGCAAACAGTTGGAAAGTCAAATTGAACAAATGAAAACAGTTTTAAATATGGAAAGTGAAAAGGTTAACTTAGAACTTGACCAAGACCTTAAAACATTGTATTCTATTTTTAATCAAAAAAATATTCCAGACTTCATAAAACTATTTTGGAATGGGCAGCAAAAATATATTCAAGCTTCTAGTCCCTGTAGCGTAAAGTATCATCCAATGATAATAAAGTTTTGTCTTAATTTAGCAGCTAAATCTTCGTCAGCATATTCTGATTAGTGTTTTGATAGTAAGACTGGTTCAGGGTTTTTAGTTCTTCCAAGTTTACGCACATTGAGAGACTATAAAAATTATATACATCCTTCAAGAGATTTTAATCCTCAAGTCATAAGTGATCTTGCATATAAAACTGCTAGTTTCTCTAGTGCTGAACAATTTGTTACAACTCTGTTTGACAAAATGAAAGTTCAAGAGTATTTAGTCTGGGATAAGTACTCTGGTGAGTTGATTGGATTTGTAGATTTAGGAGATGTTCAAACAAACTATGCAACACTTAAAAATGTAAGAGAGCTAGCATCTTATGTTTTAGTTTTTCGTGTTAAAAGTGTAGTAAACCCACTTTCCTATAGTCTAGCAACATTTGCCACAACTGGAGTAACATCAACACAACTTATGCCAATATTTTGGAAAGCAGTGCGTTATCTTGAAAGTATAAATTTGAAAGTAGTTGCTGCAACTGCTGATGGTGCATCTCCAAATAGAAAGTTTTTTAAAATGCATAAGAAATTAGATGGTGGCTCAGGAAAAAACATTATATATCGCACTAAAA